TCTCTCTCTCTCTCTCTCTCTCTCTCTCTCTCTCTCTCTCTCTCTCTCTCTCTCTCTCACACACACACACACACACACACACACACACACATGTGCGTGCGCACGCATGCGCGTTTGTTCGATTGACGTGGCATCGATGGAACGTTTTTCCTTTGCAACTTCCTCCTCAGGATACTTCTCCTCTCTCTCTCTCTCTCTCTCGCGCGCGCACACGACGTGTCATCCATAAGAAACGACAGAACATAAAAATGAATAAGCAGAAAACGAACAAAGAAGGAAAAAAAAACTGAGCACATGCACGCACATACACGTCGAGGGTTAACTCACCTTCATTTATGGTGGCCCGATCGTCCCTTTAAGACTCCACGCAATGAACAGCCCAATCCTCAGCGTCTTCGACCTTCACGATCCAGATTCCAACCTCCAGCGGTCAAAAATGTACGCACGAATCGCGATCGAAAATGTGCCTGCGTTTGTGATGAGCGTGCGTGATAAGTGTGTGTGATGAGTGTGGGTGTGTTAGTAGCGTGGCGAGTCGACAGCCCAAGTAGTCCTCTCTCTCTCTCTCTCTCTCTCTCCCCCGCCCCCTCCCCTCTCACACATAGAGACACGTCCGAGTCCAGCGAAGGGTAGTAGGCGTATACGGTCCGAGTAGCCAGCCAGTCGAGAGTCCAGCGTAGCATACAACACAGAGTAGCGAGTCGAGAGTCCAGCGTCTCTCTCCCACGCACGTCCGAGTCCAGTTTCCAGCGGCCGCGTGCGGGGCACCTGCGCCGTGTACCGCCCAGAGATTATCCGCGAGCGGTACCGGCCAAAATTCGCCGCGGGCCAGGGCCTGTGGTGCTCGGGGTACCGGGCCAGTGCCGCGCGCTCCCGGCCTCCCGAGACTGCTCAGTTCCTAACACTCTGCTCTCGATGTGGACCGTGCGATACAACACAATAGACGGTCCGGATTGATAGTTGATTGCTTTGGGAACGATCAGCAGCCAATCGGGACCTTGGCAGAGCAGCGGTTAGGGTTGCGGTATTGTCTAACGCGGGGGCGCGGCGGCGGGGGACCGGACCGCTTCCTCTTTTGCGGGTGTACCCTGCGCTCGGACCAAGCGGGCGCTACCGGAAGCGGGAGGCCGTGTCGACGGAGGTGTCTACCATCGCGATAGCACCTCCGTGGGCCCCGAGCTTGCTCGCGAGAGTTGAAGACAACAGCGATCCGCCAAGTAACCCTACCATAACCGCGGACAGCAAGGTAATTAGTCTTAGGGTCAGATCCCACTTCTTATAGGAAGGGCACTTTTAGGCAAAGTTTGGGATCCCACTTCTTTCCAGGAAAGCGGGATCCCGGAAAGTCCCGGAAGTTGCAGAAGTGAAAACGGTTTCTTACGTGGAGGCACGCGCAGGGTCGGTAGTTCTACCGATTTTAAAAAGAGGCCAACACCGTCTGTGGTAGCGAAAAAGAAGGCAGGATTTTTTTTTTTTTTTTTTTTTGGTCCTAATGGTAGTCCTGGAATGTCTGCCTTCGGTGTCCAGTGTGTGACCGCCGGCACGGTGCCGCCCCGGGGCCCCCAACGGTAAGCAGGCACCACATCCTGCCCCGAACCGGCCATGGGACACACACCCACGCCCTGGTACCGTTTACCCGGGTGGGGGTCGTCGGCGCTTCCATTACATAGCGCACAACTTATGTGCCTCCGGTCGCAATCCCTTGCTATACGACGTGCCCTTTCGCTTTCTATACAGCAAAGCACACCGTCCGTTGCTCACGTGCACCTCCCGTCAAAGATCCCCACTCTGTCCATTTGCGTATCAAGGCCACATCTAATCAGTGGGGTCGCACTGCTGCCTTCAACTGCCACGTGTCTGCGCTTCGTACTCGAGGTATGGAGGTTGGTCGTCTGCCTTTCCAACGCCGTTTGCTGGCCCCATCCCCATCATCGGTTCCTGTTGAGACATGCATGGCGGATGTCCCGCCATCGACCCCTGCCACGTACTCCGCAAGTTATCATCCTTCGTCACCTGCTGGAGGCGGGTCGTCTTCCTCCCGGTCCATCCCCTTTATGCCGCACGGTTTGCCGCACCTCTGCCATCATTCAAGAATCTGCACACTTCGATGTATGGTGTGGGGAGAGACCCTCGGTCCATGACATCGCTTCTCGCTGAAGGTGACAGCTATGGACCGCAGTGAGGTGGAGAAGCATATGGGATCAGTGTCGGCTATCAGGCGTGGGGAATGCCCCGTGGAGGGCAATGGCAACAACCACCGCAAGGTGCAGGGGCCAACGGGGAAGGAGAGCTGCCTGCGGGGGGGCAGCGTCCTCTGCACGTACATCGTACGTTGCTGGCACTGCACCAAACATGCATGCGGGGGTGGTTGGAGGCACGTCCACGAACTATTATTCAAGACCGCCTGCTGCGAACATGGTTGGAGGTCTGTCGCAGCCCATGCCTTTGGATGCTGCATTTAGCAGTCATGATGGTCGTCGTCTTCATGTGCACGATTCCGAAATCAGTATCCCAGAGCCTTCTCAAGTGGTTGCCGACCTCGGCGAGGATATGGACAAGCACGACGCTGGAATGGGCAACATGTGGGTTGGTGCATCTGCCGACATAGCTGGTACGCAAAGCATGGGTAATGTCATAGTGGACCTCACCGATGTGGCAAAACGGATGACGCGGCGGGTGGAGATGTGAGGAAGAAGGGCAAAAGGGCAAGGGGGGGAGGGCGTAGCGGAGATAATGCATGGAAGGCCAAAGTCCCAGGTCCTGATTGGTCTTCGGATGAGAGCGTCGCACTGCTCAAACTGCTTTTTGAAAAAGACTGTATGCAGCAGAAGAGAAAAGGCAGACAATAGATGACAAGCAGGCAAGACAAATACGACTGGATTGTGGAGAAGCTTGTTGAGAAAGGATTTGTCGAGCGCACCATGGACGAATGTGAGATGAAGTACTAAGGGCTCCTTGACAGCGCGAAGAGGATTCGTGATTCTGGAAAGAAGTCTGGCGCGCCCTCTTACTAGACAATGTCACGGGATGTGAGAAAGGCGGTAGGACTTCTGCTAATATTTGAACGTGAGTTCTATGAAGCACTGCAATCATGGAAGCTTGCGAAAGCAGATGGGCTGATGCACAGTGTGAATCTTGAAGGAGCGTCGTCGAGCATAGACATGGATGACGAAGACATGGGCGGTGGGGAGGACACAGGTGGTGCTCGCCGGAAAGCAGACAACGACAGTGGTGATGTAGTGAAATTCGCTCGAAGTGGTGGGGGTAGAGGGCACCTGAGACATTCGCCGTCGGAGAGTTCTGTAGAGGAAGGGAGGGGAGGCACATTCGCAGATGTCGCCTATGCTCTCGTCGATGTCACCGACAGACATACCGATAAGTTGTCTTGCAGTTTTGTGGATGTCATGGTTGGAATCAACAAGACCATGGCAGATGGGAACAACACGCTATTGCAGTGTTTTGCGATGTTGTCCGGTTCGTTGGTGGGACAGCCCGTGTCTGCTCCCGCAACAACACACGGGGGCGGGGAGGGGGGTGGTTGAAGACAGCATGACAAACATACATTTGTTTCGAACAGATTTACACCTTCCTTTTTGCCGGTTTGTCGGCTTGCCCCATGAATGATGTGGTGCAAAAAAAAAATTGTGCTATTGTTTTCCTTTTTTTTTTTTTTTTTTCGTTAGAGGTGTCCTCTCCATCTGACAATTGTCCACCCACATGTGTCGTGCGTGATGGCGTTGTTGCAAGTCTGTGATAGAGGGGGCAAAACCACGTGTGCTCATGCCTGACTATGTGCTTAATTTCTGTGGAGGTGATGAACGATTTCGGCGGGCTTGTTTTTTGGATACCCGGTGCGAACCCGGTCTATATATATATATATATATATATCGTCACAAACAGAACTGCCCGGTAAACTGTAGGCAGAGAGAGAGAAGAAGACAACAAACGAGGGGCTGTGACAAACTGTTTCGTCGGAGTTTCACCGACTCATGAGGAGGCTGAACCCTCAACAGTCTGCAGAATCCCCTCACTGATTACACTGTAAATGATAATCTACCTTAACCAAAATCAAAGTAGACTATCACTCACCCACACCAGATGGAAAACTCTACAC